CATAACAGGTGTTTCCCAATATGTGCTACTGAAACACAGACACCAAAAAATGTCCCAGGTTAAACCAGGGCGCTCTCAGTTTCAGGATTTCTGTAATACTGTTTCCATTCCCTCTGCAAGACAGCCTTCCAGGTTCCATCCATCATTGCATACTATTTGGCACTCTTACGGGTATCTACTTTGCATTCCTCTTTCAGCCTGGCCCTGCTCAGCTTTAGTGAGACATGTTTCTGCAAGACAGCCTTCCAGGTTCCATACATCATTGCGTACTATTTGGCACTCTTACAGGTATCTGCTTTGCATTCCTCTTTCAGACTGGCCCTGCTCAGCTTTAGTGAGACATGTCAGATCTAGAACAACAGCTTGACTACTCCCATTTTTCTTTTTAATTTTGATAGTTAAGCCTATCATGCAGTAGAACCTAAGCCCAGTGAAACAGAACTTACATACTTCTTGATTGCTCAATATAGTCTTTACCTACATCTCACATTCACACATGCAAGTTTACATACACCCTGGTGCAGAAATACATACTTGGGAAAGCGTGTGATAAAAGGAAACAGCCAGCGTGGGAAGCACAGTTCTTCAAGATACACTGTCCCTGTCAGTATTGTATTACTGCCCTCATTTCCCTCTGCTCCACGGTATATCTGTTCAGCATATACACATTCAGAGTGTTTGAAGTAGAAAAGACTTGGAATGGTGGTTTATTTCATGCTGCTGTTCATATTCTCAGTGTACCATGTGTGGGTCCTGTGCAGACTGGGTGTTACTGGTAAAGAAATTTCCAGTCACAATAGAATATGCCTGATTATAACAGAACTCTGGGAACTCAGTGAGAGTCGGTTCTTTGTTTTACTCTGAAACAGTTACCTGTTAATGGCTGGCATGTCTAATACCATCCTCACTTGTTCAGAAATCTTTTCTTGTTCAGAACTGTGGTAGCTTTGAAACTAACCAAAAAGAAATTTGGCAAGGGATTATATTAAATCAGGTTCCAGAGAATTTAAAACAATTACCTAGACTTCATTTCAAAACTTGTTTTAACATTTTAGGCCTTTCAGTACATCAGTTTCTTAGAATTTGTGATAGGAGCGCTCAGTTTCCATCCTTGTCATATTAACTTGCAGAACTCCCTGCTGTAAAATATGACTGAGAACAAGAGCTTAATGAGACTGAAAAAAAAAAATGTTTATAAACTTAATAGACTTGTGTTGCTTTTTCCTTTTTAAAGAAAAAACACTGCTTCAGTACTTAAGGTGGCCTCCAGTGGTAAGTGTCAGAAAGCAAATCTCCTTGAGGTGGGTTATTTCGCCCACTGCAGAGGTTTCTCGTGGTCAACCCTGAAGCATCTACTGTTGAACACTGTCAGAAACAAGATCAAGAGTTAGGAGAACTACTAATTTGACTCAACATAGAAACACCTAAATTTTCTTGGAAATATTGGTCAGGTTTTCTCTTAATCAGTTACTCCCATTTTCATGTTTTTAGGCACTGGAATATGCTAAGAAGATTCCTAGACCAAAGACTTTCACAGCAAGAAAATCATATGAAGAGGTGAAAGAGAAAAGGGTTCTGCCGCAGACTTTAAATGGAGACAGTTTACCTCAAATTGCACCCTTGGAAACTTTGCAAAATAGACACAAGAAGGAGAAGCAAGTTGTAGCTGCTTTCAGAACCCTTCATATCTTATAAGTGTTTTGAAATTATTAGGGATACCTGCAAGGCAAAAATCTCTGAATTATTTAATTATAAGCTGTGACTATCACACATTGATTTACCATTTCATTGAAATATAAAGTGGCTTGAGTTTAATCATTGCTAAATTTTAGAATCAGTTCTACTATATCTAATTTTTTTTAATGTAAACAGTTGCATATGTAGCATTTAAAATATGGTCATCTCTTGTTATTTTTCTTTGAAATCAACTGATCTAGCAGTTGCATCTTTCAGACTAATCAGCTGTTGGCTTGTTGCAGCTGGATCATTTTTAGACATGTCAAACATATGGGCATATCTACAAAACATTAAAAATAAACATCAGTTTCATTTGATGATCTTAAATACCATCAATATTTCTCTTTTTGAAGTGCAGAGGAGACTTTGGCAGACTGTCCAGAAATAAAGCCAAAAATAATCCATTGCTGGTAAGAAAGAGAACAAAAATGTGCACCAAACATAGTAGTTGGTAATGATACAATACTAATTATTCAAATGTTATTCTGTTACTTGTTGGTGAATAGTTGTCACATCGAGACTAAAATTTTGAAGCTTCAACTGGGACAAGAAAATTCAAAACAAGTACTGGCTGATCATGCAGACAATCTGTTATTAGCCAGAAGCAGTTGAAAAATATATTGAGTAACTGAGGATAATTGAGAGCTACATGTTTGAGAGGAAACAGCTTTTAACAGATTAAATCTATAAAAATAACAACAAACAGATGTGTTTATTACGATGGTTCCATTTCTTTAACTCAGTAAATTATGAATTAAGTCAACATATGAAATGTGATTAGAACACACAGCAAGGGAATTTTGAAGAAAACACACTAAAATCTCTTAGAACACACAACAAGGGAATTTTGAGGAAAACATACTGAAATCTCCTAGAAAATAGGCTAATTAAAAGGAAAAAAAGACCAACAACCTTGTGATTATGTGTAATTGCTTTATCCAATTTATTAGGTCCCCTTTTGTATGGGAGGAGAGAGAGAATTAGTCTTTGGGCAAAAAAAAGGGTTCGAGTCTCCTTGAAGGAGGCTAACAATGGAAAAGGGAATGGAGAATAAAAAAGAGAATATCTTTGAAATCGCTTTCTCTTTTTCTAGATGCATCTTTTGTTAAAGGTAAAGATAGAAATGTGTAAGGCTTAACACGTTTCTGGGTTAACATTTCGTTGGCTGGTTGTCTCACAGGAAAGATAATTTTCCAGTAGCGTATAGTGAAGTCAAGACATTGGAGGTATGACATATATTGCTGGAAACATCCTATACCTTTCATTTTCTAGAGCCCTGGGTGAGTTTGACCTAAATCCTACAGTCCTCAGGATGCCTCAGTCCTCCTGAAAGTGGATTAGTTGCTGAAATACACCCTGCAGGATCTCCAGTCAGGCTCCCAATCTAATATGGAAAAAATTGATCACCGTACTGCATCTCTCCGTCATAGAAAAAGGACATGTTCCTCTCTCTAAAGCCCTCGTGACCCACCTGAGAGATAGGAAGCTCTCCACCCTGTCAGTTGCTTCCCACCACCTGCGCTGAACTGGACTGTTAGACTTTCCAACTGAAACGGGCTCGCTGAGGGCTTGCTTGCAACACAGCCCAGGCTGGCTGACAGGCTGTGTGCTGGGTCCAGCATCTCTGGAAAGCAATCGCCTTCGCAGGTGGGAGTTTGTGGCGTACATAATCTTTGGGGGAAACTTGGTGGAAGAAGTGTCTTCCAGTGTGTGGAATACGGGTCAGGTTGCAGGGGAAATGTTTTGCGTTATCAAAGCGCAGCAGTGAACATACTCAAATGTCCACTGCAACTCCCAGAACATCCTCTGCCTCGGCCTCCTTTCTCCTCACCTTTGGGAACTGCATTTGCCTCCTCTTTGTAGAGTGTACATGCCCGTGGCATGATCCATCAAGCTAGGCTGGGTAAATGTTTCCATGCTCTGCCAGTTGCTGCTTTTCTCCTTTTATTTTTAAACCGAATGGTAACACTTTGAAGCATTTCTGATTAGGGAACCTCAACTTGTTGTTTCTGCTTAAAAGTGATAATCCCCCCTTAATACAAACCTCAAGTACCTATTTTAATGAAACCTTCAGATGAATATCAAAGAGCTATTTACTCGTATCTAATATTTTAATTAGATTATATTCTCAATTTAACCCATTAAACCCCCTTTGATGATCTCCATGTTTAGTGTTTAGCCCCAGATGCTGTAGGTAATGAATATTGGACCTTTGATTTAATGAGAACTTCTGCCTTTCCAGCCTGACTCCCTTTGTATCCCCCTTTTTTTTATTTTCTGAGCTATAGAATTCAGTTAATTGAAGAAGTCTCTTACCACCACACATTAAGGAACCTAAATTAGCATCCCTTTTCTGATTAGAAAATGCAAGCAGACATTTCTCTTTGATCTGAGGATTGAGTTGAAGTAGGCAACAGCCCCCTGAAAATGAGCTGATGGCCTTATTATTTGGCTGACATGCAGATGCGTCCATGTGGTGCAAAATGCTTAATGTCTTAATTGATCACCTTCCTCCCTATCTGTCATCCTAGTACCTCTTAGAGCTCCCATAAATTAGGGTGATCTTCCTGGGTGGGTGGTGTGTTTCGTTTGTTTTGTTTTTTTTTTTTTTTTAATAGAACAATGAACTTTTAGGAAACATTTAAATACTAAACCCATGCTAAACTAGAAGCCATGCGTACTTATATGATGCTGCATCTGACGGGGGGATAGAGGTTTTTTAGAAGCACTGATCATGATCATCTTACAAACCATTTGGAAAGGACGATTTGTTGGGTTTTTTTTTCTTTCTCCCAGAAAAAGACATTATTTGCAGCATATGTGGAAAGAAAATCTTTTGATCTACCTCAATGCTAATGCAAATTTTTCCTGCACCTAACAGATATGGTGGCACAAAAAGGGATCGTGCAAGTAAATGATGAGCATCCATCTGCTTAAAAGCAAAGGCCAAAACTTAATGTCTTTCGAATTAGGAAGGCAAGGAATTTAAATAAGAAATAGGCCTTGAATTTTGCATTAAGTATTCAAGGAGAGATTGAGCTGGAGTAGAACCTGCCCGCCATAGTGCCACGACTCCAGCACAGCTATCACAGAGCGCAGTGTTACTCACTGTGAGCACAGGCTGCCTTCACAGGGGCACAAACGTATTTGTGTACACCACCCAACAGAGCTTCTCAACATTTACTTGGCAGGCCCTTTCTAGTGCCATCATTTCTTAAAATTTTAGATTCAGGAAGTGTGGAAGCTGAGACCACCTTCAGTGGTCAGAGACCAGGGGTCAGTTCTACTTAGGAGCAATGCCACTGCAATAACATCACCGTCACATTTCTTTCAAAAGATAATTGAAGTCGGCTTCCCAGCACCATCTCACAAAAGGTATGAACAGCTGGCTGATAGTCTGCTGACTGACAAAAACATGCCGTTTTATCAGTTAAAATCATTAAATAAGGCAGAGCCTAAAAGCCACGTTCCATCATTACATCTCTAAAGAAAAACTGTCAAAGATGAGAGTTGAAACCAGATGAGATTTTGTCTAACTCCTGCAGTCATTGAGTACTTCAGATAGGCATGAACAAGCTATAATGTCCAAACAGCCCATAAGCCAAGCATTTGATCATTACCATCTCCGATTGGGGATCAATTCTACAGCAAATTATGACAGCACAAAGAATATGCCTTTTTTTTATTATTATTTTGCATGTTGCCCAGACCTGAGTGCTCTCTGCATGAGAATAAGCAGGCACGTGAAGAAAGGACGAACTCTGGTGACTGCCTCTGTGGAGTGAGAAGGAGCTCTGGCTGCTCAAAATCAGAGTGATAGGTAAAGGCAGTGAATCTCCACTGCTGACAGCTGGCACGGCTGAGTTAAAGCAGCCTGCCTTACCGAAGAGCCTGCTTTCAACAGAAGTGATACTGAGCCAAAAACCTGGATAGAGCAGATGCTAAAGGAGCATCCAGCAGCTCAGCGAGAGCTTTGCGTAATCGTGAGTGCAGAGCAGGCAGCTGCAGGTAATACCACAGGGCTGGTTTTCTGTGGGTCATAGGAGCAGTTAAGGGTTTTTTCCAGGAGTTGCAGTGAAGCCAACGACATACACGACACCAGAGAATATTGAGTCTTGTCTTTACGAAAGCGAGTTGAGTGATCTCAGCAATAGCTGAACAAAGTGAGTTGCAAAATTTGGTCAGCTTGCCTTTGCTCCTGGCATTTCAGAAACCTGTATCGTAGAGTTACCTCATCATCGTGAGTTAAAACCAGCTTCTTCCTTGAAAGACTGCCTGTACCCTAACAGGTAGAAAAGTCACTGCAGTCCACTGTGTGATCACCCTTTCTTCTCTTAAGCACACACTTTACACCCACCTGCCCTTATGACCAAGTGCAAGGTATTGCTGCTGCTGCATGAATACTATGTCAGTAGCTGTGGCCACCCCAAGGCACTTCTAGCAATGGTACTAGGAGTGTTTCATCTAAGCTTATTACGCTATAGAAACAAGATAAATCCAAGACAGAAATAAGCCACTTTTTAAGCCGAGTAAGACCACCCGAGCAGGAGTTTGCCATTAATTAAGGTGATGCTGTTTGTTATTGTGACTAGAAGAGAGGAAGAGCAAAGCCATCAGTTCAGGAGGCTACAACACTCGGGAGGTCACAGTGCTGCACCCAGCATCCTCTCTAAGTTCACCTACCCCTCCTCTGCTCCTCAGCATGGCCCATGCCTGCAGAAACTTCACAAAACCAATGGAAAAAAATTGCACTGAGTCCATCAGCCGGCAGAGAGGAACAACGAGAAGAAGTTGTAGAAAGAATTTTACATAGCACACGCAATGCCTGGATCACTTGCTGGGCTGCACCATAGATTATTTACACCTTCACCAAGCGACAGCCCATGGTACTTTCAGGGCTGACACCACATATGTGTTTAATAGCAGGACTTTGCAAATTATTTGCTCTGTAAGTGCCC